AACGACAACAACACCTCTGAAACATACATCGGACTCACAGAAACCGACTTCAAAACAAGACACAGAAATCACACCGCATCATTCCGCCACGCCAAGCACAAAAACTCTACCGAACTTAGCAAACACATCTGGACACTCAAGAACGACAACATTGACTATTCTATCTCATGGCGCATCTTATCATCTAACTCTCCCTACAACAGCTCCAATAAAAGATGCAACCTCTGCCTAAAAGAAAAATTCCTGATAATTTACCGACCCGACCTCTCATCACTAAATAAGCGTAACGAACTCGTATCTTCATGCCGACACAGAAACAAAGCGTTGCTACGCAACAACTGAACTTTAAAGTTTTTAAGTTTACCGCGCATTATGCAAATTTTCCTAGTATATAAACGATAGTCACATGAATATTCTTTCATTAAACCCCTGAAGAGTGAAGCGATTCACGAAACAGGCTTGTCGGGAAATGTAGTTACGTCCTTTTTTCCTCTCACAATATTTATTCTGCTCTGCTTCAACGTATTGAGCACTGTTCCACGCGAAAATCGACTTGCAGACTTCCTATGTATATATATATATATTTTTTTTTTAACAATATCACTACCGTAGAAGTGATTATTTTGGGAAGCTCAACGTTTGTGCTTTTCATCTGTTGTTAGGGAAACAAATCTTTTTGTATTCGTGGCGGTTGCCTTTTACCATAAAAAATCCTATCGGTTTATTTTTGACACACAATTTTTTTTTCGGGCATATTAAAAGTTGACTACCACAAACATAATTTGTAGGTTTTCTTGCGTGCTCTTTAGGTAAAGCCAAATGTAAGTAGTTCTGACAGCTATAGCTATATCTTTTCCATTAAAGGGCATCAATATTTCATGAGTTTATCAATTTTCTTAGTTATTTCAAAATAATTAACGTTTTGCCTTTTAAAACCTTCAATAATGAAAGTGTCATTTACAACTTAACGCTAATAGCGCCGGCTGGGAAAGTATTTATTTCATTGTACTGAGCCCACGCTTTCAAAATTAAACGATTTAGCTGGTAAAAACAGGAAAAAAATAAAGGGGAAGAAAGCGAGGAACTTGATATTCTCTGTATTTTGTAAATAAAACGAATAGAATGAGTACACAAACACCGTGTTAAAAAGTCCACAAAATATATCGACGGTTAATTTTTCCATTGTTAACCTTGTTACTATTTTATTTTCATCTTGGAGCTGAATGAATGAGTACTTTTTAAGAACAACTTTTATTTTTTCTCTTGTCAACAGAAGGTTCTACTTGCACAGTTCCCGTGCCGGAACAAGCACTTTAGGTAAACCTAAGTGTGTTCTTCCAGCCAAAGCGATGGACGCCGACATGTAAAAAATCGCTGGCTTATCTCAAAACAGATTTTTACCGCAGAGGCCAGTAATTTACTCCCAGACAAGTAAAAAATACACGATACGTGACATTGATATCAAAACCGCTCAAGTGTCTTGAACCATAAATAACCCGGTCAGTGGCGAGAATGCGCAGCAGCGACAAGACGAAGTTGTCGAGTCTCTGCTGATCGCGTGCCTGGTTTAAGATCGACGCCAATATATATTTTAATTTGCGACATGAAATATCTAATTGAGTTCATTCCCTTCACTTAAAAACTATTAACTTTCTCTTGTTAGAATAATCAGCACTTGCGGGGACAACAAAGAATTGGCTGGGAATATCTTAGAAGGCCAAGTTGCTAATTACAGCTCACGCAAGATTACAATGCGGAAAAGATATTCACAAAAACCAAGGTGATCTTACTTCTAATCTCGTTGTACCTAAATCAATCATACGATTTATTGAAAATTTAAGAATGCAAAGATTTCAACCTGAATACATCGCCTTCTACGCGATCAATACGAGCTGAGCGCGAGAGCGCACATGAAAGGGTCTGGATTCGAGTACAGGCTGGGAAATCGTGTTTTGTTCTTAGCTTAAGACCTCGACCTCTCTCTACCCTAGGAAGGAGGGGGGGAAGGTATAATGCGAAAAATAAAGGAAACTATCGGGGTAAACATGCCGAAGCGTAAACTGTGATAGATTAACTATCCAAGAGGAACAGACCATGCTTATCACGCGGCCAATCGCTTCACAAGCTATGAAACTGGAGCAAGAATAAGTTCTACACGCTATGCGAGCCAAGCGAGTCGGTCTCGTATGCAAGGATCTGATTCTAACAATGGATTTCATGGCGATATCTCAGTTATTTCTTTTTTTTCCTGCTCATAAGGGATCAGTTATGGCCTCGGGGGTGGGGTGTCGAAATACTTTTTCGGGAATGATATGGTTTTTAAGAAGGAACGGAGCTGACTGAGATGGAACCAGTCGTCGCTTACTAAATAGGGACTTTAAGCAGTCAGGACGGCAACGCCACGGAAGACGTCGATTAAAAAAACGAGTTTCTACTTTTAGTTAGAATTTTGATAATTTGCCGCCGCGGTTTCGCTTCGCGGACGACGCAAATTTCGGTGATTTCACGTTGTTGTTTTGGAAAGGACGGCTAAGAAATGTACAAAGTTTTAAAACGCACGTGCTGGGCTATTGTTCTGCCAATTAGATCTATTGTTTTTCCACGTTCTTGTTGCCGTAGCCGTCATGGTTTGCTTAAGATCCCTAATATAAAAGTGGGGGCGGGACTATAGAAATTCTACTGTCAGTGAAGGAGGATCAGAAGTACAGAGCCTTATGGGGAGGTCAGGTAAATTTCATTGTGACACAAAAAAAAAATTCTTCCGTTCCTTCCCCCAAGCCCCCACCCGGGCAATAAATAATGACCGTACCAGTCCTATGCAATAGGAAGTGTTAAGCAGTGTTTAATTTCTAGATATATGAAAGGTATACCTGTGACCAGAAAGTTGGAAAAGGTTACAGTTGAATCCCTTCCCCTTTAAAAATTTTGTCAGAATACCCCTCGTCTACTTCCTCCTACCCCCCTCCCCACGGCAGAAAGAACTTGGTTTGATTATAACGCACGTGGTTGAAGTGAGGGTCTACCAGCTGTGTTTGGCCCGAGGCCAATTTGTATGTTCTTATTTTTGTGTGTTTGCTTGTTATGTGGCTTGCTCGAGGGAAAGAAGTGACAAAATAGGGGGACTCCTTGCGTCAAATCTTTTCGCTATCTGCTGCCGGGCGAAGCTATTAAACGATAAGTCAGTGTTTTCTTTACTCAGGCTGAATGTCTTTGGTCAAGATGGCCAAACTCTGGCCAAGCTTTTATTTAGCTTCATTTGCATTTGCCAATATCCACGAAGACGCACAAAACATTGACAACAATATCCATCGATCCATCAGTTTCTCGCAAAAGCCCACTCCAAGCTTTTTTTTTTTGTTTTTGTTTTACTTTTTCACAATCTTATCTCTTGATTATGTTTTTTATTTCTCTTTTTGCGGGAGCGAAACGTGGCAATCCCTGGCCCACATTACATCATCTTAATGAAAACGTTGAGATTCGCGCTTCATCTAGTACCTGCTTGGCCAGACAGCCACCCACGGAACATTATGAATTCTTGAAAACTTCAATGAAACTTGGCAACAACATCTACAATACCTTCTCGTGTCCCTGGACATTTAAAGTTTTAGTCTCCTTCGGCCGTGGGCTGTCTAGGCTGCCTAATTTTAACCCCCTACCCATGGACTAAAGCCAATCGACAACTGAGTAAGAAACTTGAAGGAGTGTGTCCCATCAAACCAATTACTGCTATTTACATAGAGACTTGTAAGTGACTTATCTCGTAGATCAACCCGCTTTTGCCTTGTTTATCTTCTAGGTAACGTTGCGCAACGAGAAGACATGAAACCAAAAAGAAACCATGTGTTTATTTTAAAAAAGGACCGCATAACAGCCCATAACATACACCTGATTGCCAGAGTGGTGATACCTAAAAAGCGTTAATTTACGATGAATGGTGACACCCAACAAGTCTATGGGTCAGATGTACGTGTGCTAACCACCATTCGTTGCACGTTGTGCGGAATAATGGAAGCTGTCCAAGCTTTCCTGAAAGAAAAAGCTTATTGCAAAAAAAAACGATTTTCCGTGAGTAATGAGAAAAGTGAATGATTTGTGCGAATATTTCCCATAAAGCCGTCGGGTCGTTCAAGGATCATCATTCTCACTAATTCATTTTAAAACGTTCGCTGCCAGGACGTTTAAAAAGCTAATATTTTATCGCGGCCATGGCCCTATTCCATTATACATAAGTAGGGCTCATTAATGCGAGGATCACTGTTAGACATTTCATGAACCGCAGTACAGCTATGTGATTTTCATACGATTTTCATTGATTCATTATGGTAACCGCATGTATTAGTTTGTCCTTCGATAGGTCGCTGAAACCAATCAAAATTCGGGTAGAATTCAACCAGGAGATTTTGAGAAATAGAGGTAGTAATAAAGAGATCATTGAAATTTTTTTTAAATGAGATAAGTGTCACAGTTTTTTAGTTCTGTTTTATCGCATCGCTGAGCCGTTCAAAACGCCTTTTACGGAATCATTCTCAACCATCCTCTGTAATAGATATATTTTATTAACCAAGCGTGAGGGCCGTACTGGGAAAATATCGGCCCGAGGTCTTGACAATACGGACCTCGCTGCGCTCGGTCCGTACAAAAAAGACCGAGGGTCGATATTCTTCCAGTACGGTCCCGAGCAAGCTTGGTTAATGAGAGATTTATTATACGACTGAAGTTCAAAGGGAAACAAGTGCGGTATTATTCGGGACCATTTGGGACAGTGCCCGGTCCAATACTGAGAGAATATTGACCGGCAATAGAGCATTTTGATTGGTTGATTTTAGTTATTGGCCCTCTGACTGCCCGAGTCGTGTAATAAGGTTGGATATTCACTATTGTGAACTAATACGTGCCTCTTGTATGTTTTTACCACATTTTGATATGATTTCTTCTCTGAGTTCTTACTAAACAGATGTACAGCATCACGGAGAAGTGTCTTCGTCAATTTGATTGCTCTCCTTGGGCGGAGTGGCGGTTTAAGGGTCATTATATTTTAGTGTTACTTGTAGGCAAATTATCACTTATGTGATCACCTTGGGAAAACATTCGCTAAGTGAACGTCCTGGGTTTTTCCAATATGTATTACCCCCATTGGCCATTGTAAGGGGCCTCACTTACAATGGTCAAACGAACACTTCATTCTAGACCAATAGCTGTAAGAGCTGTTTATTCCATGCATTGCTGAGACCATGCTGCAGTAGAGCCAAAGAAACATTCTGATCGTTAAGTGTGACTAAAACCGTGATTAAATGTACTATTATAGTATAAGAATTAACTTGATTACGTATTTTCAATAGTAAAATATCAATATATTGAATAACTTGCTACTTTACTGCAACTGTACATGGTTGTTATTCGGTTGTATATACATATATAGTACGTAGCAATAAAATGTCTTGTTAGTCCCGAGTTCATGGTTCGAGCCCCTAAAATAAAGTTCCACACTGGTGATAGTGTTTTTTTTTTGGTTCTGAGTAGTGCACTCTTGTCTAGTAACCACAACTTTTGAAGATGGGATGTCTCTCTTCTAACAGTCTTTGTCGTTTGGCTTGTTTTTCTCTTTATGCGATACACTGGAAAACTATTATTATAGAACTTATGTTATTAAATCTAAGCCTCTTAAGTTCACATCTGAAAACTCAGACCGAAGACGGCTCCAGTTGGCCAATTTGCATCAATAGTCTCTGTGCCTATAAAATCACTCAGCAAGGCCGGGCTCTTCATTAGGGAAGATCAAAGTGACTGTAAGGGGTTGCTATTTTAACCTGTAAGCGCAAAACTCAGAACACTGTGATTAAACAGCAACAGAGAATTAAAGTGCGCATGAATTGTGTTTGATTACTGAGACGGGAGCCAACGATAGCCCATGAAATTACTAAAAACACCAACTTCATGATTGCGTTTAAAGAGCAAAGTATCAAATCGAACAACGTCAAAAAGCTTCACTTTGTTGTCAACTAGGTATTGAAAAGAAGATTGATGATTCAAACAAACAAATATCACTATAAAACAAAAATTACATTTGTTGGAGTAAATTACTGAGCTGTACCTTGGGCGGGTTGAAGGCTGACATAGTGCACCTCATGAATATGTCCCAGTACAAGTGGTTTGCTTTCGTCACATCATTGCCATGGGGTAGACTGCTGACCACACGAATGGGCGTTTCAAAGTAGTTTGCTGCGGCACACAGAATCACGTGATCACCCCAAGCGCCATCTTGTTCCTTGTATGTCAAGTACTCAGTCTACGTTTGGTGTCCATGGACAAAGTGAAACATTTGTTCCATCCAGCTGTAAGAAAATCAGTTAAAAAAGCAAACTTAACCAAAGAGGATTGTTGATAGAAAATTGAGCGCGTGAAGCACGATTAAGGGAGCAATATTATCTGAATGGTACGAGATTGAAAAGTTGTTCAAAACGTCCGTGTATTTCCCAAAGGCTCATCAAACTGCAGGGAAAACAAAACAAAACAAAAAACAGGAAGACCCATAATGAAGAGAATAACTAGAATTCTGTTGTCTGAAGGTGGTTTAAGGGCAGCTTTCTCGAAAACTGAAATATTCTAACCACCTAAAGGAGTAGCCCGCTTCTTAGGACACTATACTAGTTCAGTAACAAAGGATTCAACTCTAACCAACATCATTGTGTGGCTTTGTACAAAATAAAGTTAAACCTTTCAGTTTCTCTCTCCATCGGGGATACAAGCTGGTCACTTCACTCTGGGATAGGCTCTGGTGGTGTTTACCTGTATACACACTTAACCTTCATCATATTCTTAGGATAATATCACGTGACATACTCTGTCAGTCAGACTAACATCAACGTACCAGTTCTGGGTTACTCCTGAGGTACTGGACCAAGGTTTGTCTTAATGTGCCGTATGGGATTTTGATTCCTTTAACAATTTCCAGCTGTTCTGACAGAGCATAGAACATGCAAATCCCTGATCCTTGATTGTCAGATATTCTAAAGCCCTTGTCTGATGCAATCTTCCTCAGCCCCGATAATAGATCTGTTCTTCTTTTAACTTTGCTTGCATCAAGCTGCATCTGTTGGAGTTCCTGGATGATTTGGTCAAGAGAACCTAGAAAAAAACGTAGTTTTCACTGATCTAACTGAATGAAAGAGTCGCAACAATCTTCAGGTAGAAAATATTAATTCCCAATCTAGTAAGAGAAACTTGGAGGGTAAAAAAGGAAAGAAAGGCTTCAACCACCAAACAACCGATGTTTTGTTCAAGAACTAAGCCTTGAAGCGACACGCTACCAGTCAAGTGACTATTTATGTTCGATATTTGCCTGTTAAGGAAATTTGGATAAAATAATCGAGAGAGAAGAAGTAGAGACGAAACAGGTCTACACTTTAACATATCAGTGAATCCTGTAAAAAATTCTGGGCTTCACAAAGCTACTGATGTATTTCCCATACCGTATCAATATACGATTTCTTCAATACTGTGTCGAAAGACAAATGTATGGTGACCGGTTCTGATGGAAACAGTGTTTTTAAACTTCCGCTTCGTTTGGAGAAAAAGAAAAAGAATGGCCCTAGTCTCCCTGTTTCAAGCAATTTATGTTTTTTTTTTCCTGGTGAAATGGGGTGAAAGCTTCAAAGAAGACTAAAAAGAAATTTATAACACCTAGCCATTTGTCCTGATCGGTAGTAAAAGAAAATCAAATTTGTGTGTACAAGTCTTGGGATTGTAACTGGAAGCAGAGGTATAAATATTAACATATCTTCTTAATGTAAATTATTATCAGAATTACCATTTCTAACAAACCCTAGCTGGCCTGGAGTTAAAAGAGGAGGAAAGGAGAAATGTTGGATATTTTTGTAACCCGTCCGTTCTTCTTTGGGGATGTCAGTTACCATGTGTTATCAATAATTTGTTACTCACTTCGAGTCAGTAATGAATCAACTGTTCGTTGTTCGGTTGACGTGTCGACATCTTCGGTCTCCTGAGTACTGAAACTTGTCTCTCGACTTTTAGAAGCTGAAAAGATAGACAGAATAATTTTTTTAAAATTGCACCAATCCAAAAGAGGATACAACTCATTACTATTGAGGTTTAACACATTTTTTATGTACGGTGTCCCAGTCTTCTATGACGCTTTCTAAGAGACCGAAGGCCGAGTAGCCACCAAAAACACTTCGGTAGAATATTCAAACATTCTCACCATGAACTATGTCCCACATCTTCACCAAATCCTAAGTTGCCACTGACAAGAAGGGGAAGATCGGCAGAAAAAGCTTCCAATGCCGTCAGGCCAAAACCTTCTGATCTGGAGAGCATCATACAAAGAACAACTTCACAAAATAATTTTTCAATTTCTTTTTGCTCTGTACGAACTTCCTCACAGTCAGCTGGCTTTTATCAGTTCTACTCTTCAGTAAATTCGCTGCAACCTCATCCTGTTTCCCGTCAGGTGCACCCACGAAAATCAGGTGATAAGATCTCTCTTTCAGTTCAACTATAGCTCTGGCTGAGATATCGTAGCCCTTCAGGCTAAAGTCTTCTGGATCACCAAGGCCGACTGTTAAAACCTCAAACTTCTCCATGTCACCTGTAGGTTGTTTTACGTCGGAAAACTCACTGAAAGTGCTTGGCGTCTGTTGAATTACATCTTGGTGCTTCTCACATGAGCGCAGGTAGGAAGAGTAAGCTTTCGTCAACTTTGGTCCAACTGCTACCACGGCATCTGCCAACTCACACAACTCAACTTCTGTTGTATTCTCTTCACCTTTACAAATGGCCATAGAATAGTTTTTGTGCATTCCAAGTTCTTCAGGTGGAGTATGCTCTACCTGT